AAACTCAACCAAATTAATTTGAATTTAAATTCGATCTAGTTATTTAATGTTTTGTATATATCATGTGTTATGATTTAAGTTCAAATTACACATTAACTCGACTAAGTTAACTTAAATTGCATTTGATTAAATGTTGTTTTTGTGTGCCCTACTTTTGGCCCAAAATAATATGTAAAATATAATAATAAAAAATAACAAAAAGAGAAAAAAGAGAAAGAATTTGGACAAGTGATGTCTTTCTGCGCCTCAACGCTTGGTGCACCTTAGGTGTGCCTTGTTGCGCTTCATTAAAATCGCCTCGCCTAAACCCAATTAGGCGCTTCATCTTTATCTTGCCTCGTCTTAGTGCCTGGTCGTGGTTCAACCTAGATTGATTGAAAATTCGTATATTTAAATGAGATTTGATCTGTATGAATTATTATTTTAATATATTAATATTTTTTTTAAGTTTTATAAATAATTTAAGCATTTCATTGTATTAGTTTTAAATTGTTTTGTTGGATATTGAATTTTATTTTTAAATATATTTATGTTATATTTACCTTATTTCTTATTTTTTTCATATTATATAAAATTTTTAATAAAACAATTAGAAATTATTATTATTATCTTTATCTTTAAATCTCTAAATGATTTAGCCACCAATTCTCCTTATTAAATATGTTTGATATCATGTCCTCTTTTATATTACACCAAGAACAATATCAACTTGAGCAAGAACATTTAGTTAGTCGGCCAAACTGATCATCTTTCGTCCTTCATATTCTCTTAAGTTATGAGTTATAAACTCACTAGAAATATTCTCCTTTATTCTTGTCATTTTAGATAGAAATATTATTAGATTTAGACTTTGTTAAAAAAATCAATTTATTTAAATATCTTTGTGTAACTCCTCCTTTGTATGACCTTATTTTGTGAAAATTAATTAAAAAATCAAAATAAAAATTTAAACAAATAATAAATGAATTTATATATAATTTTTTATCATTTGTATTTTTTATAATTTATTAATTAAGTTTTTATAAATATAATTTTATATAAAATATTTTAGTTCATCTACAAAATCTTATAAAAATATGAAATATTATATACCTACTTTTTTTAATAATCTTGAGTGATTAAAAGTTAATTTATGTTTAAAATATTTTTTAATCATTGACAATATACCCTGCAAACATAATTACTCGAACTCAAAATCTCTTAAAAGTATAACACTTCACTTAACCATGGATTCATATTATTAAATGTTAATATGTTAGGTGTTATAAATATCTTCTATCACATTAATCACAAATTATTAAAGATGAATCTTACCACCGTCAATTAATTTGTCTATTAGGATAAGACACTAAATTCTTTAAACAAAGTTAAAAGTTTAAATCTTAACGTATACGAATGGAGTAAACTAGGTTATAATAATCGTCCTTGACTTTACATCATCTAATTCGGATTCGTCGGCTAATAAATAAAATACCGATGGCTATTCTAATAGATCGGACAACCAATCTCGCAAAAGGATCCGATCCGATACGCGCCTCAACATAAATTTCAAAAACCCATCGTCCCAGAATCAAGGGCTAAACCTTATCCTCCTCGCTGCAAAGGAAATTAAAAATGGGAGAAAAAGACGAGACAATGAACTGCAATCTATTTTCTTCAGTAATTTCTTAAATTAAATCTTATTCTGGCAAAGACCCTCTTCTCCCTTGGCTGCGGTACTCTTTTCCTGCTCTCCCTTTTACCATTTTTCTTTCTTTGAAATATTAATACCAACTCATTGCTTCCACAGGGGGATAAAGAAAATAAAAGATTCGGTGCCGCCCCAGATTTTAAGCGAGAAGCTACCACGCTTTTTGCAAAAATGTACCCAAACGTTCGAATCTGATCGCCGTTACCATGACGATCTACGCTACCTCCGGGTTTGGTTACAGTTGGTAAACAACCAATCTGCCTTAACGAAACGAATCTTCGATGTTCATTCTTTATGGAAACTTACTATTATTTGGTTTCTGGGTTTTCTTTATTTGTTTATTTGTTTGGATTGATTTGTTAGATGGATTTTATGGATGATCCGAGGGTGCTGTTGAGAAGAATGGAAATGAGCCAAATAGGGACAAAACGTTCATTGTTCTACCAAGCTTATGCACTTTACTATGAGAAGATTAAGAAATTTGACGAGGCTGAAAAAATGTACCATCTGGGTGTTCAAAAGTAAGGGTTTGTTCTCTTTCTTTTTTTTTTACTCTATCAGTTTTCCTTATAGTTGCAATGAATAGTCTACCAATCCAATTGAAGTTTGCTTGTTGCTCAGTGTGGAATGTTAAAATTGTCAAATTTGTAGTTGTGTATGTTATTAGCATTGGTTGTTGCTACTTGTTTTTTACTATTTATTATTATTATTTACTTTCCTAAACGTAATTTGGTTGGCTTGAATCTTGAACTTTTTAATCTGTTACTTAGAATGAGTATGAATGCGACATGAATATAATTAATTTTTTAAAAGTTCGTATATTTGAAAATTTATTAGACATGCATACTCAAGAATATACAGAGACGAACAGATGAACTGAAATCCAAATCAAACTGTGAATGAAAATTTTGAGGGAGATTCATGTTAAATCTTTCCACGGAGTATATTTTCTTCAATTTATGATGCAATTCTGTGTCTTCAATGCAATAGAGAAAGTTTTGCACGGTTATGGATTCCAACTTTTTATTACTTGATTATGATATTAAAGTTTTCCTTTCTTTCAATGAAATAGCTTTGGAAACCCGAACTGGTGCTTTATTTAATTTCCATCAATCGTTGAACAGCCTTGCAGAGCCTGTTGATGAGTTGCAAAAATCATATGAGCAATTCCTGAATCGTATGGAGAGACACAAGAAGAAGAAAATGCAGGTTGTCCTTTTGTTGCTTATCTAATGTGCTTGTTTTCATTGTCTTTGTTTTGTTCTTCACAATCTGACTATTACTTTGGTGTGCCACGGCGCCAGGAAGGAAGAGCTGCTAGAAAGCCTCTCCAATGCAGAGAGTTGAAAAGAAACAGTGAAGCAATATGTATAGTTGAAAATAGTCATAAGAAGTCTTCAGCATTACATGATTGTAAAAAGGTGGAGAGCAAAAGGGGGAGAGCTTTGATGGAGAGGGTGTTGGATGAACCCAGGAAGGTTGGGAATGATGATACGGTGGTCGTGAAGTTTGTTGATACTGCCATTGTTGGTAAATCTGAAGCTGAAAATGCCTTCCATCATGGACTTGTTGATCCTACAATAAACATGAAAGAGGCAATGAATGCAATCGATAGTATGTTTCGAGAACCTATAGAGACAGCTCCTATTGGGAGCCGATCATCTCGGATGCAGCTGAAAGAAGATCGTAGTTTGAACATAGGATTTAAGGTGTTTGATGAAAATTTGGATAGTGAAAGCAACCCATCAGTTCAACATGAAGAAAAGGTGTTACAGATTAAAGCTCGAATTTGCCGGCCTAAGGAGGAAGCATTCGAAATATTCATTGATGATGATGAAGGGAATAGTGAGGTTGGAGAGGGAAATGATAAAGAAAACTTAGAACAGTCGGAGGTTCAAAATGTAGGAAAAGGTTTCAACGTCTTTGTGTTTCCAAATCCTAATGATTTTTCTCCTGAGAGTTCAGATGATATTAATGCACGAAGTGCACATCGACCGAAGATTCGAGAGGATACAGTGGTTCACAGTTTCGTTGGTTCGACCATTTCTGATGAGCCAGTGGTAGAAAATGTTTGCCACCATGGCTTAGTAGACCCTACAATTAACTTGAAGGAGGTTATGCAAGACATCAATAACATGTTCGGAAAGCCGATAGATTTTGTAAGGGCAAAAAGAAAGCAGCAGGACAAAGCACCTGTTGAGAAACAAGATCTTGGTGGGTTTTCTATACTTCCTGATGATTTGGAAAATCAGGAACCTCAGCCCCCTGCAAAATCATCTGGCAAATTAAATGATAGTGATTTATTTGAGCCAACTGTGTTTACCAAAGAAGCAATGGATGATATAAATAAGATGTTTGGAATGCCACTGGAGTTCTAGGAGAAAGAAATTTATTGTGTTTGAGAGCTTGGATATATTGCTATGGTGTAGTTGCTTGCTTGTGCATATATGCTTACTTGGCATGCATTTTTTAATGAAACGGCCTTGAGTATCCAACCGAGTACTAGCTCGAAGGATTACCAGTTGCGCCGTAATGTTAGAAGCCCAGTTGCACTTCTCAAGAGGTGTGAAACAAACTTGAAATGGAAAGATCGAAGGGGATGAGCCGAATGAGAGGGGTGCATTTTGGAACCCTTCAAGTTCAGCAAAGTAGACATTCCCATCTGTTTCAATAGCCACTTATAGAAGCTTAATTGATCTTTGTTTTCGTGGATGTCTGGAATCCAGACTCTGGATGACGCTAACTTTAACTGAAGCAATGCTTCTGCTTCCAAAGAAGGACCAAGGATTTATCATTTATCCATAATTATTACTTCTCTCTGCAATGTCTTCAAAAGCAGGAAAAAACGTTGGAAGTTCTATGGAACCCGGATGCTGCTTCACAACATCCTGGTCAGCATTCTCTTCTTGCATTGTCTATCTGTTTACGTGAAGGCCGCTTATTGCATTATCCTAGGGGTTAGCGACATTTCAAGTCTTCCTGCAGTAAGTTAATGAAGTTGGTTCACGTTAGAGGAAAGTTTTCAGAGTTAAAATGTTCGATTTGCCCATGCCATTTGATTAGAAGTACAAAAAGCAGTTTATGTACCCTCAGAGTTTAGCGCAGTTTGTTCAAGCTATAAAGTCGGTGTTTAACTTGGTTGGTTCATGCAACATACAAGCGACACCTACAACTATTAAGAAAAAGAGGCATGGAATTGCCAATCACAAGCATCATTTTTAGGTCGAGAATGCTAGGAGAGAGACTGCAAGATTGGACAACAAATTGATTGATCATTGCAAAAACTGATGGTAACAATGAAACAATTAGAAAATCAAGAGGGTTGCAATTACGTCTCTGTTTTCTTTTATGTATATTCACACTGAAAGCCAAACAAGGACCCGAATTTTCTCTCTATCTCAAATATTTACAACAAACTTTCCATTACTTTAAAATAAATACAACCAAGGCTGACCAGGCAAACCTCTTTTTGCCTCTCCACCGACGCAAGATCTGGAAAACGTCCAAGTTTGCTACTTACAAAGTCATGTCCATCCTCTAGTTTGCTTCAGCAGACATGATCTCAAGCTCCGCCCACCAAAGAGGAGAGAGTTTTGGGATTGCATCATCAGGTGCGATTGCAGTAATCACTCTCAATCTTGCACCAACTTGTTTCATATCCGGTCTGCGTCCAGGTTCAGGGTCGACACAAGATTTTATGACCTCCCCAATCTTGTCAAGTTGGTCCCTGTCAAAGGAGTTTAGAGTAGGATCAACCATCTCTATGAGGGCTTGCTCCCTTCTCAAATAGTCTGATGACCCATCGTCAGATGAACCATTATCCACCAAGTAAGGCATCCTACTCGTTACTATTTCAAATAATAGTACACCAAAGGTATAAACATTACATTTTAGGCTTGCTGCTGTAGTATCAGAAAGGTTTGTTCTGTCCGGTTCCCTCTCCGATGAAGTCAACTCATTCCAGAAACACGGATCTGAGATTTTGGCTGCATAATCTTCTGTTAGATTGACAGCTGAGGAGGACAGGTTGTTATGGGGTACAGGGGGGTTTAGCTGGTGCATATGTTCAAGGCAATAAGCCATGCCCATCGCAATTCTCAGCCTCGTAGCCCAGTCCAAGTGCTCAGATTCTTTAACTGCAATATCAATGGAAAAGACGAAACATTTACTTCAAATCTTTAAGCTCTTAAGGAAAAGAGAAATGGAAAATGCTTGCTAAACCTGAAAAACATATAACTTGCTTCTTCATGATACATGGGGAAACATATGATCTTCTAATGGGCATTCTATGACAAACTATCATGCAAAATTCATAGCGTAAAGGAACCTTGAAACCATATGCTTGATTACCCTTTCATCTCGAAAGTCGTTAGCATGAAAATAAAGTTAACAACTGTTTCTATTCCTGTTCCTTTTCCGTTATTTTTCTATACTCGGTTAATAGGCATAATGCCGTCTGATATAAGGGGATTACTGCATATCCACTTTCAAACATACGGCTCGTTTATACAAATCCTGTGAAAAACATTCCACAGCGAAGTCACCAGCACGGCATTCATATCCCAGAAGTCAAAAGTGTGGGATGAGTTTCCTTTCTCTTTGTTAAAATCAACATGTTGCACATACTGATCAAGTCATTTCACATTATTATTGAAAAGGTCAAACTATAAAGGATGATCCAACAAAAAAGAACAAGAAATTAATGAAAATGACAAATTATATATTGTGAACACATTAATAAGGCAACTCAGTTTCGGATTCTATGCAAAGTCGCAGAAATTTGGTGGTTGCCTTCTTTAGGCTAAAATCTTAAAGTCTGTGGCAGATATATGACAAACCTCCTGAGCAAAAAAATAAATTATTATTGGTGACGGATATTAAGTTAGAGGTCTATCCAAAAAGGAAACCAAAAACACGAGTAGGGTACTTACTATGTAAATGCTCAAAGAGTGTGCCATTTGGAGCGTATTCAAAAACCATCATCCTAGTGAAAGGCTTGTCTTCCTCACAATATCCAAGAAGATTGAGAAAATTTTTGTGGTTCACGTTTGATAACGTCTCGATCTGAAACCATAAGTGTAAAATAGTTAAGCAGACCATAAGAACACATCAAACACGAGCATCTAGATGGAAATTTTCGGAACAGTACCTTCTTCCTGAACTGTGTTTTTAAGTTCTTCGGCCAATCTTTGGCAGATTTAACTGGGACAGAGACCACAGCTATTTCAACTCCGGTAGACAGTGTCCCTTTGTACACAGTTCCGATTGTTGAAGAACCAATTACGTTGCTGAAATCTTCACAGGCTGCTTCAAGCTCTGATCTCTTCAGCTTTGGTACACCTGAAACGCAAGTCGTTGAAAATATATTAATAAATATTCAGCAGAATGCAAGGCTACTAATAAAAAGTGGACAGTTAGTCCCTTGGCCAAACAATTTCTCATTCTAAGAAAACTGTGTTGAGGGGATGACAAGTTAAATTTAAATCTCAACTATTGCTCCTTGTCCGGTTTTCAGCAACAATATTAAGTTCGATTGAACATGTTAATATGGTCTGAAAACCCAGGAATATATAAAAAGTTATCAACTGTCTAATAGAGCGGAAGAATTACCAGTTACGAATGCTTTCTGAAGTTGTCCACTTAGCCCTGTGGCCCAAGGTTTCACGGTAGATACCTTATAAGTTTTTAAGAGATATGCAATGATTATTACTATCAGAAGCAATACGGCACCCCCTATGCTTCCGCCCAGTATTGCAGATCGATGATTTGATCTAGAGTGAGAACTTGAAGGATTGATTATTGATGGCGGTGGAGTGGAAGCATTAGGTACTACTGTATTATTTTGAGAAGGTTTAGAGGCTGGAACGGATGAAGGTCGTGGAACAGGAAGAGCATCTCTTAAATATGTATTATTTGTGGGCTGTTCAGAAGATGCGGGAGGAGTTGGATTTGGAGGTCCATGAGGAGATGGCGGCATACTAAAATCAAAAGAGGGTGTTTCTCGTGACATTGCAGAAGTTGTAGGTGTTTGTTGCAGCAATCCCCTTTGCACTGCACCTTCAGATTGGCCGACATTCCTACTAGAGGCATAAGAATGGTTAAACAATAAGAAGACTAGAAAGAAAACAGAACATTTCGAATCAAATTATTATACTGCACAAGAGAAAGAAAGCCTCCAAAGGTATTCGAGACAGCCAACTTACTTGATTGTTAGTGAAGGATTGCAGCCGACTTCAGATGGAAGTAGTTCGCTGAAGTTATTGTATCCCAAGTCCAACAGCTCTAATTCCTTCAGTTCTCTGATCCCTTCGGGGATAACTCCGGTAAAAGAGTTGTTCCACAAAATACTGTTGTGGGGGGGGGGGAACAATGGCTTCAGAATAGGGTATAGACAGAAAGTAAAATGCGAATGGCACATTGATTTCGATATCAACGATCCGAAGAATGTCATAAGATACTCCATACTTACATAGACTTAATGTGAACTAGAGTTCCAAGCTCAGGTGCCAATGTTCCTTCAAGACAAAGATCTTTCAAGTTCCTGCATTTTTATTAAATCCATTAAAATTTGGCACAAATTAAAGGAAATAATCTATCAAAGTGTCTATATCTGCAAGCATTGACCAAAAAATCTACTTCAATCCCCCATTTCACAAATAAAAAAGAACATGATGATACTAACAAGAAAAGAGTTGCTAAGTTGGAAATCAAAGTTCTATTTGATACTTACAATCATATCTCAAAATTCTAAATTAAATTTTCCAAACAAAAAAGTAGAAAGAAATTACTAAGACAGAAAACTTCAATTTTTCCTTTCTTTTATCGGAAACCAAACATCATCCATCAAAAAAAAATCACTAGAGCAAGAGAAAAGTAAGGGAGAGAAAAAGAAAAGAAAAACTTACAAAGCAATAACTTTGCCATCAGAGCACTCGACACCAAACCAAGAACAATGGTCAACCTCTCCATCTTGTTGTTTCCAATCCGACAAAGCACCAAACGGATCATTCACCACTTTCTCTCTTAATCTCAACAAAGCCAACCCTGCATATTCATTGTCAAACAATCATCTTTCCCCCATTTTCTCAAGAAAAAAACAAAACCCAAAACTTGAAAAGAAGAGAAGAGAAGCTTACCTTCTTCATTTAACGACCAACAAACAAAACTTTGACATGATAATATCAACAAAGCAACAACATGAAACTCTTGTCTTAACCTTACAAGCTTCCATTTCTTGTTCATGATCATCTTCTTCTTTGAGAGAGCTTAACTCAGAACAGAGATGAAAGAAAGAAGAAGAAGAAAAAAAGGCGGCAGAGTGAGATTGGTGAATCCAATACGAAACCAAAGAAGAGAATTTTCCTGGTTTTTTCTATTTGTTTTAGGTTTGAAAACGCGTACACTGGAAAGACTGAACCAATCCTTTGTCTTCCTGTCTCAACTCTCTTTATTTTTAACCTCAGTAAAATATAATTAACTTTTTGTATTTGTTTTCATTTACATTTTAGATCCTAATAATTTGTGAATATGATTAAGAAATTTCATAATTTTTTTATTAAATTAGAATAAGTATAAGATAATATTTATTTAAATATAATTATTAATAACTTGATATTAAACACTCGTATCATTCATATTTATTAATGTTCAAACTTAAAACTTCATACAATACGAATCACCGCTAGGGGTGTTCATTCGGTTAAAACGGTGGCCGACCGAACCGAATTAACCATAACCGAATTAATCAAACTTTTTTTTTCTTTAACCGTTAATCGAACCGAATTTTTTTTCGAACATATTAACCGAACCGAATAAATTTCGGTTAATTCGGTTAATTTCGAATTAACCAATTTTTTTTTAAATTTTCTAATTTATATAAAAATTAAATATTTTTTAATTCAAAAAAAGTTTATAATTAATTTAAATAATATATAATTATAAAATAAAAATTTTAGATAAATTTTTTAATTAATTAATATTGATTTAAGTTTAAAAGTTATTGGATCTTAAATTATTAATTGGGTTTTAAATAGTTTGGGCTTAGCCCATATGTTATATATAATATATTTAATACTTTTTAATTAAAAAACAGTTTACAAATAATTTAAATAATATATAATTATAAAATAAAAAATTTATATAATTTTTTAATTAATTAATATTGATTTAAGTTTAAAAGTTATTGGATCTTAAATTATTAATTGAGTTTTAAATGATTTGGGTTGAGCCAATATGTTATATATAATATATTTAATATTTAAAATTTAATTTTGGTTAATTCGGTTAATTAACCGAATTCGAACCGAATTAACCGTTAACCGAATTCTAAAAATTTTCTTAACCGTTAACCGACCGAACTAATTCGGTAACCGAACCGAATTAACCGAACTAATTCGATTCTATCAGTTAACCGAATTAATTCGATTATTTGAACACCCCTAATCACCGTCTGATTCGTGCAAAAAAATTAAAATATTTGTTGCCAACTATTGAAATATTATTTATAAATAAATAAAATATAAAATAAACTCCTTAAATGGGTAATACTAAAGAGTTGACCACTTTATTGATCGGGAAAGAGAAAGTATAAAGGTGAGGAGTTAGGGGCCTTTGTGTAGGAGAAGGAGATGCCGGCGGAGACTCTTCCATTGTAATTTTAGGGTAAATTATATGTTTAATAATTCAACTATCATTTTTATTCTATTTGATCGTCCAATAATATTTTTAAAATCAAAATTAACGTTTAGTTTTGTTTTTATTTTGATCATTTATTGTTAAAAAAATTTAAGGTGATTCTGATATGTGATTATAAGATAATGTATAATGTCACCAATGATAGAACTTGGTAATAGAATTTGAGGGCCAACTTAAAACTTAAAAAAATTCAAAGGTTTAAATTAAAATTTCTAAACATTTTGAAAGGGTTTAGTTTATATTTATTCCAAAAAAATTAGGGTCTAACTAATTTTTTTAAAATTTTGAGAGGCTTAATGAGAATTTTAAAAATTATTAAGAGGGTTTAATTAAGAACATTAAAAAAATTAAAGTTTAATATGAATTTCTAAAAATTTTGATGAGGCTAAGTTATTTTTTAAAAAAAATTAAAAGTTTAAATTATAATTTTTAAATTTTGGGGGGTCATGGACCCACTAGTCCCTCTTGTGTTCCTCCACTGAATGTCACTTCAACAGTTATATTAATTTTTTAATGATATATGATCAAGATAAAACTAAAATATAACATTAGATATGATTTTAAAAAATAATTAAGTGACCAAAATAAAATAAAAGTGATAGTTATTATACTAAACGTGCAGTTTATCCTATAATTTATAAAACATTTCGGCATTTATAGTCGTCTTCGTAATTCTTGGAAAAAAGGTTTCGGTGGGTCCATGCTGACTTGTCATTTACATTTACTTCTGTATTTTTATTATTAAAAGCAACTCTGATTTTAACATTCAAATTTGAACATAATAGGAAATTACTTAATAAGGTTTTGGATTTAATGTGTACAAAAAGGTTGAATGTGTAAATGACACATTTATTAGTAGTAGTTCGAAGCCGATAATAGAAATGAATAAAAACATTAAATCGATGAAATGATTTGTTAACATCAAACCTATTTTGTTTTGTGATAAGAAAGAAGAAGAAAGTTTAGTGTATAATAATAAAACAAAAACCTATTTTGACTTCTTCATCCTCTGATCTCCATCATCAACCGTCGATGAGCCTGAAACTTTGCTGTGTAAGTCGACTCTTTATTCTCTCGTGGTCCACTGTTCGGATTGGTAATCCGTCCACTAAAACTATGCCTCGTCAGCCTATCTATTATGTTTTTAATGATATGGTACTAAAAAAGAAACAAAAACCTAAACGTTAGGTACAATGCGTAGTTTACGCTTATTTTTATTTGAACGACTTCAAGTGTAATTGAACTATGCAGATATCGTGAAGTTAATCTTCCTCACAAACGTAGGCATCAACTTTCTTCTTCTGTAAAAGTTATCTCTGCTATTCGAAATCAAGTATGGTTTATGAAAATTTTCTAAATCCCACGAGAATCCAACATGGTGATTGAACAACCGGTTGACATCCAAGTTTTATTGCTTGGCTTTGCACAGGCCGACATCCAACTGCTTGTTTCAAGCAATATATCAACATCTTTGTATTTTAGAATTATTTATATTTAAATAATTGACTTAATACATTTTCTAATTAAAAATGGATAAATAAAGCTTCAAGGAAGATGAATCTATAAAAGAAAAAGAAAATATGCTTTTAATTGTATTAATTTTTAAATTTTAATGATAAAAAATGTAAAATAAATCACATTGAACGTAAGTAAAGCCTTCTCCATATTATAATATAAACATAAGTTGTACGTGGAAAAGATTGAATGATTTTCATTAAGTTTTCTGCCCACCCAACCTACCTTCCAATATGAATTTATGCATACGTTTTTTATATTTTTTATATGTCACGACAGTGTTTATAAATTATATATTTATAAAAAAAATTATAATATGTTTTTATATTATGTTCGTATCATATTCAGGATTATGAGATTTTCCAACCGCTTGTAATTGTGAATAACTTCTTTTAATTATTAAATCATGAAAAATAAAGATTCTCATATAGGATCTATTCTAAGATTTTTTAAGGATATGATGCGTATTATTTCTTTAATTTTCCTATTGAATTGATAAATTAGCAATGGTTGTTAATGTTTCAATTCGTATATAATTAAAATATAACTCTTTTGAAAATACGCAGGTGAATATTTATTGAGATGAAAGCCACGTTGCCTTTGACAACTTTGATGCTTATGTTAGCAAATATTGAAAACTTGGAGGTAAGGAAGTAAAGTAAACCCGATAGATTAATATTTCTCATATTTAGTGATTAATTATTTCAAATTTTAAGTTTCTAGAAAAGTGTATGAATGGTATATTATATCATATGTTTTACCGATAGGGAGTGGTTCAAGTGGTAAGTAGTTTGATATCGCTTAAGCAATGTAAAGTCATATGTACTACGTGGGTTGGTTTGAATTAGTCAAGGAAAAGCCCCCTTAAAATCGGGAGGGCAACCAAAAAGAGTTATATGTTTAGTTACATTTCTTTTTTAATATTGTTGTAATTGTCCTTCGGGTGGGCCAAGAATCAGGTTTCGACTTAATTTTGATGTGTTAGTGCCGTCACCGATCATTTAAAATTAGGTTGACCAGACACCTTGACTTACCATTTATCTGATCTGCATTTTACCAAAAATTAATCGGATACGAGAGTCGATTACAGTCAATGAAAGATTAGCACCCTTGTACTGTCATTTCGGTACCAATTTAATTTTTTGGTTGTCTTAATAGAGAAAATTAAAAGTTAAATTAAAATTTAAAATTCGATCTTATTTACTAACCTTTGACCAATTAAAATTGTCCCTAAAAAAGCCAAATTAATGTTAAATAATAAAATAAAATAAAATCCAAAAATTTTTGAAAAGGGAAAAATAATTAAAATTAGGGTTAAAATAAAATAAAATAAAATTGAAAAGAAATAATACTAGGGTTAAAATAAAATAAAATAAAATTGAAAAGAATTAATACTAGGGTTAAAATAAAAATATTAAATTAAAAGAAAATAAAAAAGGGTTAAATTAGAAAACGTGAGAAGTTAAAGGTCAAATTGGATGTTGTAAGAAGAAAAGTCAAAGTTTTAGGGGTTAATTTACAAAATATAAAAAATATGTGCAGGGGTTAAATTGAATAAATGTTGAGTCAATCGATTGACTGAATCTGCCAAGAGGGGGGTGAATTGGCAATAAAAATTTATGTGGAAGCTTTTGCAGAAAATTGAAAGAAATTGCACAGCGATTTAGAGTGGTTCGACTTTATCAACCAAAGTCTACGTCCACTACCTTAGCTATCCACACTAAGGATTTTCCAACAAATTCACTAATTTGTTCTTTCTTTTGAGGCCAAAGAGATAACCTTACAACTCCCTCAAGAATATACCCCAATTTTTGATAACACTCTTTTCTCAAAGAGAAATACAAATTTGCAAACCTCACAAGGCAAATATGTTTGCACAATTCTAGAACAAAGAAAGAACACTCAAGAATAAATACAATTGAGCACAATAAGTGTTCTTGAAAGCAAAATGAATATTGAATTAAAAATAGGCTTGAAATGCTCAAACTTGAGGTTTGATGCTTTCTCTTTGATTCTCTCTTGATTCTAATTGCTTGATGTTTCTTGTTGTTGATCAATGGCTTCTAAGCTTGCTTAAATACACCTTGAATCACTTCTGAACGTTGGGGATGATTAAAGAAAATAATATAGCTGTTTTAGTGTGAAAATAATTAATAAAACAGTTTGGAGCGTGGGGGGAA